CTTCTCTAAACTCATTCAAATCAAATCTAAAAACTTCTTTAGACAAGCTTTCACATAATGGTCTCTTTTTCCTTAGTTTTATCCTATATATTTCTTGTTTGTTTTCTTTGTAAAGCGCTTTGAAAAGAAACCTTCAAAAGGCGCTATATAAAATAAAGTTTATTAATAATAATATAAATAAGATTATTATTATCCAACCAAATGGCAGATAAGTTTATTGTTAAGGTTTATAAACACTTTATTTCTGAATTCATTAATGAAATTTTAGAACATGCATCATGAACTAGAGTCAATATATGCTATTTTGTTATGCTGAATTAAAATATCTATGCAGGCTCACCTTTATAAAACTGTCCTTGAAACCATGCAAGATCCTTGTTTTATTTAGCAATATGAACCATGTGACATGGGAGTTTTTATAAAACAACTTCCCTACTGGAATGTAATTAAGAATATATCAGCGCCTAATATAGAACAGATGTTACACCAATTGCATTATCTTTTGTCTCTGCAGTGATAGTACAACAAGAGAGGATGCTTGCCTAATGATTCCTGCATGCAGGGTTGATTTTTAGGTCATATAGAGGTGACATAGCAGCAGCTTTGTTTTTCACACTGTTACTTCTTTTTTTTTATAACTACCTGAACAACTTAAAGAGCCAGGCATCCTAAATTACAGATAGATTTATTTAAAATAGCAAATAAAAACATAAACACAATTATTTCTTGGGCAATTCCAGACTAGAGATACAGTATGGAAGATGGAGTTTGACACTGTAAGAACCTTTTTGAAGATGCAACTTTGTGGGTTCTAGTTGTAGGAATGGTAAATAATTAACAAAGTTTTAAAATATTACTATTATTATATTCATACTAAAATATGTACTAATTACTGTACACTTGCCCATTTTCCTACAGTAAACACAAGACTTTAGCTGCATGAAAATACATTTAAAGTAGAACTCTTTTACTAGATAATGTTCACTTTGTAGGAGGTTGGGCGAGCCCAGGAAAATCCATTAAACTCTGAACACCACTGAAGAGCTGAATCTTGTGTTTTTTTACAAGGCCAATTAGCAATGAAAACCGTTTTTTAATTACTATTTAATGTGGAGAGAGTCTTTTAATGTGGCTTAAAGGGCAACTTTGAAAATACACAAATTACTTAAATAGCATGCTTGTGATACCTTAAAACTCCATGTGAAGTTGTGGATGCAGTATGATGTACCCTATTAAAAGTGACATTCTGTGTTTACAAACAGCAGCTGGGAAGCTGTTATTTGGCAGTGGTAGCAGTGTATCTGTTAAATGACAGATCCCTGCCAACCTCTATTTTTCAGCAAGCCAGGAGATCTTTCATTCAGCAGTGGTATCACTATCACCTTTATTAAGCAAATCATGTTTGTAAACAAAGGAGCCAGGGATCCTGGATGACCTCACTGATGGCTATTCAACATCATCTGGTGTCACATATCTTGATGAATCTACACCACTGGACGGACATTGAATTTACAATAGGGGAGCATTGGTTTGTTTCTTTTACCACCTCAATACCATCATATTATAACCCTTTATTTTACAAGCCATATTAAGTTTGTGGTGCTGTGATAGTTTGACTGAAACTTACTCAGTCATGCAACACTGTAACCAAATGAACTTTATATCTTTTGTTTGACAGGATGAGCTTTCGTTTGGTGGTATTTAATAAAGATTGGATTATTTATATTTTTCTGTGTACAGAAAAAAGGAAAAAAGACCAAACATTTTGATCAAAAACCTGTTTATTTTTATACTTTCTAGTATAAAACATATCAAATAAAAGGGCCGGGGCAGTATAAACATCCCCAAAATAACCACTTTTTGGAAAGCGGACACCCTAAGGTGAATTTATTTTTTTCCATAATTTTTTTTACAAATGAAGAAATATACTGGTTAAGGTCTTCTTAGCCTTTAAAAGTCACCTACTGAAGTAAAGTTCAAGTCTTCTTTTTTCTAGTGGAAGAACTTTCCTTGGAGGATGAATTTGCCTTACACTGAAATTGTATTGTGTTCAAGGGCTAGACCTCATGGATAAACTAAAAACACCCCAAAAAAAAAAAAAAACACAACCATTAACATTTAAAACCCCTCACCTCCCTCACTTTAAAGCTTAAAATGAAATTCTCCCAATCAACATTAGCAATTTTTGATCCTTATGTTGCTAGCATTAGTAAATTGATGGGAAGGCATATAATATTCACTCTACTTGTTTTAAACTTTTTTCTTGTTCAAAATGTTTATTTAAAATAAAGAGTCAAAAAATTTACAACCATAGAAATGGATCAGTATAAGACATGGAGTGACATGAAACCATGTTGGACACAGTGTACGTCAGATATGTGAACAATACAATTCTAAGGATGTATCGATGTACACAAATAGTGTTCATGCTGTAATATGTGATGAAGACAAAAACGGAAATAAGGTAAACAGTTATGTATGTCCTCACATGTGTGACTGAGGGGTCAGTAAACCATTAAGTAATTAGGATTCTAGTGCTCACAGAAACCGCTTAACAAAATAAACTGAGGTGCCAATGAGAAGTAGAATGGGTGAATTAAACATCAAGTCTAATAGTGACCCTTCGAAAAAGTGATAAGCTAAAGAGAGAGGACAGAGATGTTAAGTTGGAGTAGAGAGGGGGTGTAAAAGACAAGGAGGGGAAGGAAGGAAGGAAGTGGAAAGAAGAGGGGGGAGAAGGAGGCCCGGAGTGCCAGCCTATGGTTGGCTTTGTAGACAAGCCAATTCGCAATGAATAAAAGATCACCTAGAAAAAATCATGATAACAAGAGAGTATCATCAAATTGTGGGGGCAGGAAATTGTGCAAGGTTGCCACAGTTTAGTGTGCTATTTGACCCTATTCAGTAGGACCGCATCTATTTTAGCTTGGATCATGGCCTTAGTGACCCTATGTTTGGTTTCCAATACACTAAAAGAGTTTGTCTTCCAGGCTTTCATGTTGGTTTGTTTAGCTGAAGTTGTCACTTGGAGGAATCATTTGTGTTCAACCCGTTTTGTTTTAAACTTTTTTTACATGTCTTCATTTACTTCCTGGTTCCAAAATTATGTCTTTCAGGATGAGAGGAGGGGCTTTCTTAGCTAAGCCCCAGTTCCATAGCTATGGTTAACAAACCTCAGTGCGATCTAATGCTGAAATTGCAAGGTTCCCAAGCAAGCTCCCTCTCAGTAACCACCCCGGCCCATGTTCCACCAAAAGGAGAACATAGTCTCAAAGAGCAATGTGGCAGGACAATGGGCCTTTGAAGCAACTCCTAGCAAAGTCAGCGGTCATTCCTACTGGCCCTAGCCACAATACAGTTTGAAACTAATGTGGCTAGGACCTGGTGAAGCGCTGATGGAGTGCCCAGGCTAGATGGAAATCCGGATAGGCATAAAAGTCAACTAGTGATCAACTCCTTTTGGTTAACTTGAAAACACAATAAAACACAGAGTTCTCCTGCAGCCCCAAGTCAGTGACACTCCCAAATGTTAACAGTAGTACTATTTAAGTTTGTGATTGCTCTGATTGGCTATAACAGTGATCACAATGCTGTGATTGACCGACAGAAAGATAACAATCAATCACTGTTATTGGCTCTGTGCCTGTTGCCTATGAATTTCACTGTCCAACTGTAAACACCAGTGTGTGTTTAAAAGCAAATTTGTCTTTATTGTTTTACATAAATTTAACAAGCAGAGCACAGGAAAAATAAAAAACAAGTACAAATCCAGTATCAAAAGAAAAACATCAGAGAGGTAGTTATGATTCATGGGGATAAATAAAAATAGTGCAATATAACAGCGTGAGGAAAGGATCAATAACCGATATCACGGAGGTATAACATAACAATTTGCCAGGGGGGTATCCCCTGGCACGGTGTATGGACCAATGTGAAAGAACTCTGCATAACTAAGATGGTAAATTGTAATTTAGGAGAAAGAGAAAAGGGAGAAGAAGAAAGAAGAGAAGAAAGAGAGAGAGAGGAAAAAAAAAAGGGAGGGGAGGAGCCAGAATGAAATAGAAAAGGGGGAGCCAGTGTAAATGGTATTGAAGGAGAAAAAAGAAAGAAGAAGGGGGTGGAGAGCGGGGACAGCAGTAAGCAGAAGCAAAATAGCTGCCCATGAGTGTCACGGGGAAGCAACCTTGATGTACATAGCACGGCATGAGCAATAGAGTCTAAATGGCGGAAAAAGCCGAAATGAGATCGAGTTGGTGGAACAAGGCACAGCCCCACTAGAGCGTAGCAGGGGCACACATATCATGGAGAGTCATAGAGGAGGAGAAATGAAGCCAGACCGACCACAAACAGCTTATGTTTATCATAAGTATTATTAGTAAATGCCAGCATCTCCTCCATATGCATGGTATCATTAAGCACAGAGACCCACATCGGAAGGGGGGGGGCGCCGATTTCCAAAAAAGAGGTATTAATTTGCGGGCTGCAGACAGGAAGAAATGCAACAGACATTTCTTCTGTGATGCCCGGGAGCCCGGAAATATAGAAAGAAGAGCAATTTCCAGAGAAAGGGTCAAGGACTCCCCGTAGGTCTCATTATACACAGCAAAGACCTGCTGCCAAAAGGGTTGTATTCAATCACAATCCCACCAAATGTGGAGTTGTGTACCAACAGCTCTCTCACAGCGCCAACAAAGATCAGGTGTAGAAGGAAAAAATTTTGTGTAGGGAGAGGGGATCCCTGTACCATTGGGAAAGAAGCTTAACCTCCCTAGCGGTATGATTCTTTCCGATTTTTTGTGCTGAAAGCAGTACCATTTTTTTCGCATGGAAATAGTTTTTTATTGTAGGCTGTAATTTTTAGGAAAATTTCCCCACAAATCATTATCACTCAATTCTGCAAGTGGTTCTGATTTACTATCGCTGTTCTCTAGCTGGTCTAAAACCACTTTTGATGTAAAGGGACGCTTTTTGGACGCCATGGACGTTTCTCAGTTTCCAGACAGAAAGAACAGACAAAATGCAGGCAGGGCACAGGACAAAGCACTAGGGACAATACTGTATGTATGTGAAAAGAAGGGATGAAACAGCAATGTTTTACTATTTAAAATTTAAAAAAAAAAAATGACATTTTTTAAATGTTTTAAATTTCCCGCCCAGCGGCACCCGTACGTCCCGACGTCACGGGGACCGGAACATAGAAGCCGGATGCCAGCATCGGCCGGAGGAGATGGCCGGGGACGCTGCAGGGGACACATCGCGGGAGCGAAGGACAAGGTAAGTGCTGCAGGGACTCCCTATGCAGCGCCGCATGGTAAGCCCGAGTGTAGCTCAGGGTTACCGCTTTTGGTATAGAAATTTTACCCAAAGCGAGCTACACTCGGGAAGACCGCTAGGAGGTTAAAATTCTTTTCTTGTGAGTAGCAAGAAATAGACGATTTATGGTGAAGTGAAACGACATGGACCACTCCTCCTCCGACACCTCTCTACTACTAGGTCCCGAGCCCAAGCCTTAGTGTAGGAAGGGAGTTCAGAGTAAAGAGCGTTATGGAGCACTTTGTAAAGGGAGGCAAGGACATGTCTCGGCAGTTCAGAGAGGGAGCACAGTCGCTTAATCTCAGAAAGTGGACGGTGAATGTTGGAGGAAGAGTGTAAAGACTTGCAAAATGAGGATAGGTGTAAAGTGGTTGTTGGAGGCAGAGTGTACAACCAATCTCTAGACCCACCTTGAAGGAGCGGAAGACCCGCTTGGGGGCAAATAAAGTCCCAGCCAAACAGGGAACATCTCTCGAGTAGCTATGGGCCAGGAAGCACGTGTAAAGGGTCCAATAATAGAGGAGCCCAACCCTAGGGGAAGGGTGGGGTTATCAAATAGTGATGACAAAGGAGAGGGATCAGGAAGATAAGAGAGCAATTATGCCTCGTTTATACCACAGCCGTAGCACGGCTAAGGTCAAGGGAGAAAAGGCAGAGAAACACTGATAGTCCCGATCGTAACCCCACCAGTGTGTGTTTAAACATATACTCAGATTTTCCACTCTACCTGCGAGCAATTTTCTACAACAGCTGGTCAGGAGGTGGTTAATAAAGTACTTTTGGTTTGGGTGTTTTTTGTTTTTTTGCTTTTTCCTTTTTTGTGAATAAGTAACAAGGGGTACCCCTTACTCATTCACGTGAGGGGCAGATATCTGGGGGCCCCCTTATTGTAAAGGGGATTCCAGATTCTAATCTCCCCGCACAGTCCCCACGTCCACTTTGGGGACAGGATGTTGAGTTAAGGCACTTGCCTCATCCCTCCAAATATTGAGGGCATGTTGCCTGATATTGTTCAGACTGTGGACTGGCTGCAGTCCAGGATAAAGGTCTGGTATACATTTTTAGGGGGGCAAAATGCTATTTGCATTTTAAATGTTCTGCTGGTGCTTTAAGAGAAAATTGCCGAGGGTTCCCCGAAAAGATTCCTAAAAGACCGTTGTCTCTTGCCATAAACATGGTAAAGATCATCAGTTTGTGGGTTTTGGTGGTGAATCAACATCATTTGTCAATGCACAACATGATTGATATGGATCTACTAGTCTGGATGGCATGATTGACACTGGATTCACAACAGTGGAATTTTTTTTATAAGGAACTTTTTCAACGGTGTGGGTGTTTTTATGTACTACATCCTTTATTTTTTTTTTTTGAACAGTAACAGGAAGTAAAAAATTAGTAACAAGGAAATAGTAGATAAAAACACCTACATTATTGAAAAAGTACTTTAATTGAAAATAAAAAAACAATGCCCTTGATGGAAAAATCCAACATCAGTCTCATTCCACAAATGTAGATCCACATAGTTAATGATGAACGATGACCTACAATGCTGACCCATTGACATGACAACCAAGTGCTGCAACATTACCCTACTATTATTCTCATCACAACTGTAAGCTTCCTCGCTCCACTGAAATGTAAACATATATTTGCTCACCAGGGAGCTGTCATTTGTGATGGGGTAGAATCATGGTGACATTGGTTCATCGTGGCACAAGATCAATGTCGTTGGCCAATGTTCATTGTGACTGAAGTGAATCTACAGTGGGGAAAATACTTATTTGCCAACTTACAAACAAATGAAGAGTGTATAATTGTTATCATAGGTGTATTTTAACTGACAAAGACAGAATATCAACCAAAATTCCAGAAAAAACACTTTCTTGAGAAGAGGATTTAGGAGGAAATTAGGGGTGATATGATCAACATGTATAAATACATCAGTGGTTCATATAGTGAACTCGGTGTAGAGTTATTCACCCTGAGGTCATCACAGAGGACAAGGGGGCACGCTTTACATCTGGAGGAAAGAAATTTAATCTCCAAACATGGAAAGGTTTCTTCACAGTAAGAGCTGTGAAAATGTGGAATAGACTCCCCCTCAAGAGTTGGTTCTGGCCAGCTCAGTGGATTGCTTTAAAAAAAGGCCTGGATTCTTTCTTGGATACACAGAATTGGTTACTATTTGATAGGTAAAGTTGATCCAGGGAATACCCGATTGCCTCTCGGGGGATCAGGAAGGAATTTTTTTTTCCCCTGCAAGAGCAAATTGGATCATGCTTTGCTGGGTTTTTTGCCTTCCTCTGGATCAACTGTGGGTATAGGATTATAAGTTTTTTTTTTATGGTTGAACTGGATGGACTTTTGTCTTTTTTCAGCCAGACTAACTATGTAACATGATACAAATGATATAAATTGAGTTGCAATTCAGTGAGTAAAATAGGTATTTGATCCCCTACCAACCAACAATAATGCTGGCTCCCACAGAAAGAATGGCTATGTGCTTGTGTGGTACACAGATTATACCTGTCAATTTAAGAAGGTGCACCTAACGACAACTCGTAATGTGTATAAAAGACACGTGTCTGCAGAATGTCATTCTTCCTCACCATCATGGACAAGACCAAAGAGCTGAAAAAAGGATGTCAGGGACTAGATTGTACACCTGCACAAAGCTGCAATGGGCTACTGGACCATCAGCAAGAAGCTTGGCGAGAAGGAGAAAGTTATTGGAGCAATTATTTGCAGATGGACAAAATACAAAATAACCATCAATCGCCTTTGGTCTGGAGCTCCATGCAAGATTTCGCCTCATGGGGTAAGGATGATCATAAGAAAAGTGAGGGATCAGCCCAGAGCTACACAGGAGGAGCTTATGAATGATCTCAAGGCAGTTGGGACCACAGTCACCAAACAAACCATTGGTAATACAATACACCACCATGGATTGAAACCCTGCAGAGCCCACAAGGTCCCCTTCTCAAAAAGGCACATGTACAGGCCCATCCCTCCTGAGATGTGTGCAAACCGGGTAACCATCTACTTGCCAACAAGGGTTTCAACAAGGGTTTCTCCACCAAATACTTGTCTCATGCTTGGGGATCAAATACGGATTTTACTAACTGAACTGCAACTCAATTTATAACATTTGTATCATGTGTTTTTTCTGGATTTTTGGTTGATATTCTGTCTCTATCATTTAAAATGCACCTATGATAAAAATTATAGGCCTTTCATTTCTTTATCAGTGGTCAAACTTACAAAATCTGCAGGGGATCAAATAATTATTTTCTCCACTGTACATATTTGGATGACATGATTGATCCTGTATTTACATCAGGGAAGATTGTTTTTTTAATATATAAAGGAAATTTCTATGGTATGGGTGTTTTTATTTTTGTCCTTTTTTTGTGAATGGGTAAAAAGGACTACTGTATACTCCACACTCATTCATGCAAGTGTAGACCCTGGGTATCCAGGGCCCTCCTAACTTTAGAGGGCTTAAAGATTCCCCACAAGGTACCCTCTGAATGTTAATGGCATGTGGCCTGCTATGGTTCAAGGGGAAAGGGGATACATGCTCGCTGCCCCCCTTTCCTGGCCAGCTAGGCTGCACGCATGCATAAGGGTCTTTTATGGATCTTTTCTTTTTTGTTTTTTCGTTTTCTAAAATGGTGCTAAATTCTCCTTACTATTAAAACAAGACACCTATCCAGGCATGCAGCCTGGCTGGACAGAAAAGAGAGGAGGTAGCTAGTGTGGAGTCTCATCCTGTACCACACCAGGCCACATGCCCTCAACATTGCAAGGGCAGCTGGAAAGGGAGGGGGCAACCAAGCACTCCCCACTTGCAAGTCACCTTGTTTTCATATTGACGAGTCCCCATAAAAGGGATGTGGAGGTGTGCAAGTGGGGACTTATAAAAAGCGGAGCTGTCATTCAGTGGGAGTGTTCATTGGGTCCGGACCTCTTTTTTTTCAGGTCGGTGGCCAGTGTTTATCATGATTGACATTTAATCTATTTCAGAGGACATTTCTTTTTTTCTTTTTGTGGTTTTTGATTGAAGGGCTTTCAAAAAACTATTGTGTTTTTACTCACTTTTTCCACTTTTATGGTGAATGAGAAGGGGTACTATGAGAAGGGGTTTTGGGGTCCACTTGTTAAAGGGGGCTTCCATATTCTGATAAGCCCCCAACCCGCAGACACTCACAACCACCAGCCAGGAATGTGGCGAAGAGGCCCTATGCATCATCAACATGACAACAAAGAACCCCCCCATATTAAGGGCATGTGGCCTGCTATGGTTCAGGAGGAGGCATGCGAGGTTGCATGCTCAGATAAGGGTCTGGTATGGATTTTGGGGGAAACACCTACATCTTTTGTTCTTTTCATTTTGGTGCCGGGTTGCCTTCAAAATCCATTACCGACCTAAGGGTCTGGTATGGATTTGGGGGGACTCCACACCATTTTTTTTTTCAATTTTGGCATGGGGTTCCCCTAATATCCATAACAAACCCGAAGGACCTGGTATAGATTGGGGGGCCCCCATGCTGTTTTTTTTCTGTAATTTTTAATTGCTGGCAATTGTTTTGTTCACATTAAACAATTCAACTGACAGCTGATGATTCTTCGGTTGTTAAGGACGCAGCAGCTTCCCATTCCTTAACAGCCATGACAGTTGCTGGTTGTTAAGGACCTTAAAAGAGAACACATTTGTTATCTACCACATGCCTGGACCACTCCTTAATTACTGCATGCATTTCATTATTTATTTCCTTCTGTGAAGTGACTTTAATCCCCTTATATGCTGTATTTACCAAGCATTTTGACAGTTTTGCAGTAAACACCACATAACGGTATGGTGAATTCACAGTTTTAGGATCGCATGCGATATTTATGGAAAATGTGTCAGATCACCTAAATACCACACATGATCTGCTTTTGTGAATGGAGCCCATTGTCTCCTGAAAAGAAATGTTGAAACCTGATATGTAAACTGAAAATTGAAACTTAAAGTGATACTAAAGGTGAATTTTTTTTTAA